ATAGTTAAAGCGCTGCAAAATGCAAGTTCCCCCGCCGACATTTTTGCCCAATTACTCAGATGATATTATATTTCGATTCCATGTGTTTTATTATTAGATATATTTTGGGTGTTGTATACGGGTATTCGGCTCAACTTCAAGTATCCTACTGGTCAAAACAATATCGGCGTTGTTTTTTTTTATCAATTTAACCAATAGTTCTACTGCAACCTTTTTCTATTTTTAAATTAGACGAAAAGTTACTACATCGATGCAAATTATTTTCGAATATGCATATATATATATATATATATATATATATATATATATATATATATATATATATATATATATATTCGCGACGAAGTGGGCTGTTTGAGCACAATCTTCATAAACTCCCTTTCATGACGGTTGTACGTCCGGCTGACCGAGGTAAACCTGCGACTTCACTGAGAGACTTTGAGTAAGACGTCCGTTACGATTAAAAATATTTGTAATTATGTATTCTAGTAAAATAAAAAAAAAATAGATAAACGTGAAAACAAAAAAGGGAGTCAAGATACTTACAGCACCAGTTGCCCGCGTTGGTAAGACGGTGTCTTGAGGAGTTCGTTTTTTGTCCCGTTTAAAACCAGACTGACGAATTCCGCTAAGCAATCACCTTCTCTGCAGTAATTCTACCGAGTGCTAGAAATTCGGTCGACTCCGAACATGGCTACAAATGGCGAATGCACGAACTGGAGGATTTCGCCCGATCCCCTTTGCAAAATCGCAACCCAGATCTTGCACACCGCAAACATTCCTCTGCTATGCTATCTTAGTTTTGTGTTTACCTAGATAGTCAGCATAGAATACACTACAAACACTGTAAGTCGCTACCATGGGTAAGACGTTCTCTCAAGACGGAGCTGCTCGGGACTGCCCACAACTTTGTGTGTCCCTTAACGCAGCACGCCTGTTGTCTGGCATTACGATCACAGGACCCCGCGACATCCAGAAAGCGTGACGCGCCAGAGAAAATTACAGAAGTATTATTCGTTATTACCTTTCCATAAAGCAACGAGCAGAGTATGTCTAAAGAGCAATTCACACACTTGCGTTGAGTCTGACCCAGTGCGAGGGTTGCTGTGGGCGTGTGGCCACAGCTGCCTCGGCTCCCACAAAACGGGGTAAAAAACCGGTTTTGTTGAAGCCGACGCAGCGGTTGTCATGGCGACTCCTACGTCGTAAGCCGTTGCGGTTCCACGCGGTCGGACTCGACGCAAATGTGTGAATCGCCCTTAGGCAAGTGACAATCAGTTCCTCCGAAAAACAAAAATGCACCAGGAGAAAACAGGCGATTATTGGCTGTGCTCTGCGGTCCATGCCGTGTCCGGCTTTCGCAAAGCCTCTCTTTAGGTACACGAGGGGTTGCCACCGCCGGCTTGTGGCGTTTGCTTGCTCTCTAAGCCGCCGTCTTTCTGATTTTGTGCTTATTAGGTCGTTGCCGATAGTGTTGCCGGCGCCGCTTTTAGGGCTCGCGGGATTTCGCTGTTGACACCGTCGTTGGCTCCTGAGGACGCTAGTATTTTGACAAAAGTTTTGCTTAGCACCGGTTCCGCCAGCAAGTCAGAGTGATAGCACGTCCCTCTGCAAAGGGCGTGCACGTGGCGACAGGGTGACAACGGATGTCTTTCAACCCTGGCGACTCTAAAATTGGTTCAAAGGGTGGTCGTGTGGGTCTTTAGGCCTAGTAACTTTGTTTTGTTTTTCGAGCTGCCACGTCGATTGATGAAAGGCGAGAAAACAGCTTCCGCTTCGGTGAAACGCCATCCTTTAAATACGCCGACAGAGTAATTATCGACTCTTTCATCGGGATAAATTCAGGCCTTCATTTGTCTGCTGTTTCAAGAGGAGTCGCTGCCATTTATCTTAACTAGACAATCAGAGAGTCGGAGTAGGACTTACTTGACAACGGATTTTAAAGTCTCCTCCCGGAACGCTGCGCCCATGAGAAGGCGTTAATGTGTTAGTGTATTCCCTGTTTGACAAATTGGAAGTTGATGAATTTTCGCGTGCTCGTTTGAATTATTGCAAGGCATGCCAGTGCTTAGAGCAATTCATCAGTGTTTTAAGAGGGGCCAAAACGGACTTCATGAGACACCCTCCTGCCAACGCGGTCAGCCAGTGCGCTCGATATCTTTACTCTTGTTTGTTTTACTTCTTTGAATGATATTAAAAATGTATGTTTTATTCTTAATGGACGTCTTAGTGAAAGTGTGCCAGTGAACTCAAATGTCAAACTTGGTGAGACGGACCTACAACCATCATATATAGGAGTTCAACAAGCTTGGTGGCTCAAACATTCCTACTCCATCCTGAATATCGATATAAATATTTGCATATAATCTCCATCATTTTCTTAGTTTTCTATTACTTTGTAAAAATAATGGTAGTAGCAGAGATTACAAGTGAGGAAATTTCGGCTAAAGCTCATAGAATTGTAACTTTGAGGCAAACAGGCTTATTAGTTAAATAAATACAAAGGGCGAACAAGGTGGGTCTTTTTTTAATTAGTAAAATATTTCAACTTGAGCGCAATACTCGAAGACCTCACAAATATATATCTGGTTAAAAAGTATACAAAATAAGGAGATTGGTATTGGTATTTATTGCGTGCCCAAACACCGTGATATTGGTGCGCATAAAAGTCACAATGAGTTGAACATGCAAAGACATTAAATACAGGAGTGACACATCAGTCATAATAAAGCAAATTACAGACACAACTCGGTATTCAAAGTAAAGTAAGGTATGGAAAAGAAATCATGCTCTACAAGGCTATTACAAAAAAGTTGAATTTTAGGCATTGGTGACCCTTCAATCTGCTTGTCATGATAAAACGTATCGCAGGGTCGCGTATGCTTAGCTGGCAGACGTAGGCTTGTAAAACTCAAAAGATCCGGTACATCAAAACGACCTTGTATGAGTTTCTGTAAAAACTTTAACAAGAAAATTATACTCAAAATAGAGTCTCCTGTTAAAATGCCTATCGTAGACTATGCGTATAAGACGCCCTTATACCATTTCAAAGCGTCTGCAATCGCTATGTGATAGAAAGTTCTACAAAACAGACGCAAATTCAAGTAGCGGCCTAACCAAAGCACAAAATAAGCGTAATAAAGTATGAGGTGCCTGGAAGTGTCTAGTCACACGTGAGATCATCCCGAGCACTTTAAGACCGGTACCACAAATGTTAGTGACATGAGATTTGAAGTATAGTTTACAGTCTACAAGCACTCCAAGGTCCCTGACTACATGAGATCGAGCAATAGTAGAGTTTCCTAACTTGTTTTTAAAGTGTAAAGGGTTATTGCGTCTTGTTAGCAAGATTACCTTAGTTTTGTCGGCGTTCAAAGGCAAGCGGTTTAACAGGCACCACTTTGAAATGCTCAACACATCAGATTGTAGCGCTTCACAGTCTTTTTCAGACTGAATATGTGACAATAACTTTATATCATTAGCGAATAAAAGGATCCTGGCAGATGTAATACACCTTGAAGTATCATTAATAAATACTGGGAATAGCAATGCGCCCACTACTGACTCTTGGAGGATTCCTGAAGTTCGAGAGATCGCACTTGGTAAAACATTATCAACACGAACAAAGTTTCTTCTCGATGACAAATAACTAGAAATCCAATCACAAAACTTAGGTGCAATACCATATTGTTCCAGCTTTTGTACAAGCAAAAAATTATTAGCCCTATCAAAAGCCTTTGAAAGTTCGAAATAAATCGAGTGGATCGGACCGCTTTTCCAAACGACCGGGGCTACGTAATGAAGAAATGTACAAAGGTTAGTTTGAACGAAACGTCCTCTAATGAAGCCATGCTGTTGATGCGTAAGATACTTTGATAAATTGGAGAAAAGACATTGTTGCACGATTGTTTCAACTATTTTAGCAAAACCACACAAAAATGACACATCTCGTCTTTGGCATTGAGCAAAATGTCGGCGTGGAAGGTGCATCCTGCACAGCTGTAACTTTGACGGAAACAAAATGATGCAACACGTTTTTCCTTATGAATAAGCACAACAGAATGGTGGAGAACAGTCACCATATTTTTAGGAAAATGGAAAATTTTTTTTCTAATTGCCACTTGACTAGTCTCATCTTTGTACATTATTAAAGGTTTAAACATACATAAGACTTATGTTCCAGATCAAATAATTATTTTCATTTTGTTGGAAAGAACGTTTTAGTAAAAATATATAACAAAAGTTTTGATGTTTAGCTATCCAATTTGCTTGATAACGGTGCAGAAATCAAGCAAAAAACGTCAAACAAGCCATGTTTGACCATTTTGACGCAAAATATATATCTCCCTCAATGCTGTACATATTTAAATCAAATGTTTTCATCATATAACATAAGTGAAAACTATTTTGGATTTCGGATATTTGTAGATGCCACCGAGCATGATATAAACGAAAAATTAAATAATTGAATAAGCCGTTCTGGTGCATTAATATTTTTTTTTTCTTTTCAAATATTAAATTTCCGCTATACCTTCTTTGATTGCGTTTTCCAAACATGTTGGGAAGTAACATAAGCAACAGGGCAAAAAAATAAAAAAAAGATATAGTCCGCACTCGCATGCATGATATTATCTGCGGAGTCTACAACTATTCAACTAGAAGTACAATTCTTGAAGTATACAAAACCACACAAACTAAAATAAATCTGCTAACACATATGTTTATTCAACAGAACACCTGCTACTGACAATCGCAACCCACTTTATATAGTCGTTTTAAATTTTTTTTTTTAAGGTTTAAGGTGTTTTTTTACCTTCTCATTCGCCTTGCCTATTTCCTAATTTTTAGCGACTGGCTCTTCCGTGTCCTTCGCTGGAAAGCAAATACTTCAGATTTCTGAGAGTGCATAAATATATTGGAAGGACGCCAGAAGCACAAGCTTAGAGGCTCGTGCGCCAATTTTGGCGAAGGCAGCTGACGCGAGGCCAGTTTCCTCCTAGTACCACCCATGTGGACCACAGAGCCAACCAACGGGAATGTGGTTATCGGCGAAACAGTCGTCCTCGACTGTGCCGCCGATGGCTTCCCGGTTCCAAGGATCGCCTGGAAGAGAGCTGAAGGTGAGCTCATTTTAAAGAACCATAACCCCCATCATAACGAAGTATTTTATTCAAATCCTTTGAAGACTATAACTAAACTCCAACAGCCGAACCATTTCAGTTCGGTCTTATTTGTGTAATTACTTTGTACCAATAACAAGCGACATTTGCTACGGTGAACGTTTATTTAAGTTTTCAAGGCCCTATTGTGCACGAGCACGCTAAGCGCCATATTAAAAGCTAATAGATGCTTCTGTGTGATATCATGCAAAGGCAGAAAAAAAAACAATGAAGAGGATGGTAATGAACAACCAACAAACGAGAAAGTAAGTTAAATACCAAGTCAGGTAGGCTGTTTGCCTCCTCAATTGCAGTATGCCTGACGCCTCTAATGCTCCCTCTCCACTAACTCATCATCAACTATTGTCAGTCTCCTCAAATCATCTACAGCGGCGCCGAAAATTTATGTGATCTACAAAAATCGAATTATAGCACCAATTGTGAGTTGTCACATCCTGTCGATATTGTTTAAGTGCGGTTGAGAGTGAATAAAGGAACAATTTTCCCTGGCATAACATTACCACCAGCTCTCTGCATTCGTCGTCGTTAGGTGAACAGAGGCCTCGTTAGGGATGTTCTAAAAGGACACGCGAAGCATTGAAGCAATAACGCATATTTTACTATTGCATGATGTGGTGCTCCTGCTGCTTGCGTTATCTACACGCAAAGAGTAGTTTTTTTTTAGTTTTTTTTTAGCGGAATGTCCCAAGTTCATAAGGGTGGAGAGACTCCTACGTGATGTGTAGAATAAAGGAAGAATTACCACCCGCGTTTTCTCCGTTTAATACGCACCTCCGTAAGCAAGTTCAAATTAAGGGCGCAAAGAACAGACGCTTCAGTTTTCGCTTCGGCCTGCCTATTTGGAACCAGAAAAGAAAGGGCATCAGTCATGAAGTATTTACATAGTCTTATCTATTGATAGAAGATCATTATATCGGCTGGACAAAATGACATGCTCCTTTGGGGTCAACGTCCCCCTCGTCCGGCTATATTGCATGTGCATCTCTAAGTTGGTTTGTGTTTGCGTGTTTGCGGCATAGCGTTAATAATCCGGAAGTGTTGAAACTGTCTTTGATTTATGTTATTCTATAAAAAAAATGAGTTGCACTAGATGATTCAGGGCTGCCATTAGGCTTATACAAGACGTTTGGTGTGTGGCATCTTTTTGGGGGATAAGAAACAATGCATACTTCTTGAAGCTTGAAAAAAAAACAGTGTTTTGCCAAAGAAAACGAGATTGCAGGCAAAGCCCTCTAATCCTCATATTTAAGAACAGTTGTTTGGTCTACCATTATGTACTATTTTTGCGAACCATATAAATTACGATATCTTGGATATAAATATTGATATCAGGCAATGTAATAAAACTGTGTGACAACCTTCCGAAATAGCATTTAGAAAATCGCCCTAATGTTTCTAATCATACGCGTTAGGTATAATAAAACGTATTCTAAAGCACAGCCTTCAGTTTTGTTTTAAATATAATATGCTTCTCAACATAATAACATTCAAAGAGCTTAGGTAGGATTGCTTGAGTGTTATATTATGCAGGTTTAAATTAATCCGAGAAATGTTCACTTCTTTGTGCAAACACGTGTTAACAGTCATGTGGGTCGTGACCCCGAGGTGAGCCGCGAGAGATTCTGCATGGGGTTGCGGAGCTGCTCGGGATGCTGAAAACATGCAAACTGGACTGGACGTTTTTGGTGGCATTCAAAAAAACATAGTACAGGTTGCAGCTCAACATCCAGCCAGAACTAAGAGTTGCGGTGTCATATCCGAGTTCTCGTTTTGAGAAACTGTGCTCTAACAAATAAGCTTGCTTAAGTACCTTAGTGAGGAACTGCAATTGCTGATGATGGGTTTTTTGCTTGAGGGGGGGGGGGGGGTTGATGGTTTTTTGTTGACCTTGTTTACTTTTACTTATTAAATGTCAAATAAGCTGAAAGCGTAAATTTAGTGTTTTATTTTTATGCGCTGAAATTCAAACCCTTGTGGCACCGCGAAAATTATGAAAAGGGGGGAGGAGGGTAGAAATATTTATTTTTTGTGGGTCGCAAGTTAGCACAGTTTTTGATTAACTGGTGCAGTCTATATATATATAGAAACAAATGGTTATACAGCCAATCCTCGAAGTCACTTTGTAAATGACTGTATCCAAAAAAACGTTGTTGATGCAATAAATCCAAAGGTGCAAAGGGTGCAAGCGAGTTGGATAAAAATAACTGTGATACCTGGATGAGGAGGACAAAGGGAACAAAGTCACACACAAATCTCCAAACACCGCTAAATGACTTGGACATTCAATCTATATTTCAGAAGTAAGCTATACGAGTGTATGAACCGTTTTTTTGTGGGGTCACTTTTTAGATAATACACATTTTATGAAAGCGATAGTTACTATTATAAAACACCAAATAATTTGATACCTTTATGGGAAACAGAAAGCTCTAAAAACGTACCCAGCACGCAGATTGCTCTAATGAGATAGATAGAAGTATATGGAAATATATCAGCATGCTAGTCACATGTTGATGTTTCAGTCTTAATAACACACTTATTAACACATGTATGTATTCCTACCTTAGCTCGCTTGATAAAATCCACCTTAATGATGGCAGATTATTTGCAGGTAATGAGCCGAGGAATTTCGAGAGGCTGACGACCAGCTACCGCGTCCAGATGCTGAGCAACGGAAGCCTCGTCGTACAAGATGCAGAAATTTCTGACAGCGGGTTTTATCTTTGTGAAGCGCACAACGGCATTGGAGCTGGACTCAGTCGTGTCGTCTCACTTTCCGTCAATGGTAATGAACATGTTTTTTTAATGAAATTTTATAGTCACATCACTTAGAAACTGGTGAAAGCCGAGATCAAATAGCACGCTTTGTTTTCATTTACTACTTTTATATGAACATAATAATATGTTGCATTATTATCCTAGAGATGTATACAATGTGGAATTGTCTTTGGTGGGGTTGTCTTATAAATCCTGGTAATCTAAAACAAACAAAAATGTATACAAACTGTAGTTAATAAAAAAACATTGGATATTATATTATCTTATTTTGAATACTGATTATTTGAAATTGCATAACTTATTACCTTATTGGTAGGCTTGATTCCGGGTCGCAATATTCGCAACGGTGTATGGAGTGCTGGCCTATCGCCTATTACCACATGGACCTATCACCACATGCATATTTGAAATAAACTATAATGTAGTGGTATCGATTTCAACATTTAAATTTATCATTTGATTCAGCGAATGAGCGTTCTAAGAGACAAAATAAATCACCACTGGTGCATTCATTTTCTTTTTCTGAATTTGTGTTTCCGTGATATAGCACTGACAGGGTGCTTTTGCCTTCAAAAATGTTTGCTTTCTTCCGGTTTTCTTTTTTCATTGGATTAGAACATTTTAGATAAACCTCGGCGAGAACGAAAAATACTAACCAATATTTTATATGTTTTTTTATTTTTCTTGTTTACGATATATGAATTATTTAAACTGTGGGATTATATACTTCCGGGAATTTCATCGTTTTCAGTGCCCCCGAGTTTTTCAACAAAGTTTTCCAGCCAGAACGTGAAGCGTGGCCAAGACGCTGTGTTACGATGTGATGCTTCGGGTGATCCAGAATTAATAATCATGTGGGAAAAGGACAAACAACCCATCGACCTGACCATTGAGAAAAGGTGATCTCTAAGTGATAAGATATCCTAATCCTAGTAACTCCTCAATATATCAGATATTATTTTATTCAATACACCATTTTATGAGAGAAACAAGGTACATGACTATCGCGCTGATAAGATATATTAAAATTATTATGTTTTTAGTATTAAGGTAAAGTCCAATTAAAAGTATTTTTTAAAATATTATTTCACCTTACACAAAATAATAAGTTTAAGAAGCACTAAATTGGGCTTGTTTTGAGTACTTGAGAATACAAATAGATAAACCTGTGAAATTTGAAAAATGCCTTAATATGTCTACATCTAATATGTGCTTCTTTGTATGATATTTAATAATTTCTAACACCGTGTAATATTTTGGTAAAATATGTAATCATCTGATTTTCTTATTTATATCTGTCAAATGCACTGTTATGTGGAAGGATAGGAGAAACATATAAATCCGACATAATATTTCAAGATGCATTTTTCCCATTACAAAGGCCTATTGACTGAGCTTAATTGTATATCTGTTTTAGCAGAGTTGAAATGAGTGTACTCTTATCTAATTTCCCTCCTAAACGACCACAGGTACTCCTTGTTCGAAGAGACTTTAGATGGAAGGCTTGCATCATCGCTAACGATTTCATCGACTGAGAGGTGGGATGGGGCCCTTTACACCTGCATTGTTAGAAATCCATTTGGTTCCGACGAGACGAATGTGCAGCTGCTTGTGCAAGGTTTGTGGCGTCCCAATAAATATATAACGTTTCGGTTAAATATATTAATATGAACACATCTTGGCAGTCGGCTTGCGTTTGCTTTTTAGCAAACGCAAGCACACTGCAAAGCGCGTAAAAACGTCGCGTCAATAATTCGGATTTATATTACACGTATATTTTCATTTACATTAACTACATGTTTTGACACGAACGTACTAGGGATGGTCAATGTAAGAGCACGCGTCGATGCACTGGTGTTCATTTTCGTAAATTGTTATATCTTAAAAAACGCTGTCCTTTATTTTGCTAGATAATAAATTATTGTAATATATAATTACAAATAACAAAGATATATAATTATAAATATGAAAATTAAATACAAAATTTGCTAAAAACTAAATAAAAGGAAATACTAAATTACGTGCATTCTGCATTTTAATTTACTATTTCTCCCCTAATTTGCGTCTTTCTTTTATCACGCATTAAACAATCAGTTGAAAGTAAGCGCCTGTCTTGTCTTTAACTTTTTTCTGTCCTTGTTCTTGGCGCTTTTGTAATTAGGATGTTTACCCAAATATCACAAAAGTTACTTTTGATTGAACGTAGACCTTTAAACAAAAGGAAACTATCGCGTCGAGGTAGGCTGAAGCCCGTGAATTACAATCACTTAACCAAAAGGTCAGGAAATGTAGTAAGGCAAAAAAACATATTTCTGTCATTGGGTTTTTATGGGCCCCTACATTGCTCATAAGAGAATAATGCTGATCCTGTCGGACAGACACCTTAACCCTGTCTCATATTGCTATTTTCGATTATCGCCCATAATACTGGGTGATTGGCTTTTCATGCTTTGTTCCGTAAAATAAGCGGCAGGACACAATTAGAGTATTGGAGGTGTTATCGTAACTATAACGAATATAAAACAAAAAAATCAAAAACGCTGTATGCGATATGCAAACCACTTAAATAGGTTAAATTTAAGAAATGCGATGTGTCTATTTTCCGGCAAAGCACTTAGCAGAGTGCATACTTGTGGAGTACGGAGAATCTAGGCGAAAAGCTGCCTCGAAATATTTTAGACATAAATAAATAGTAATACGAATAATCTGTACGTAGGCACTAACATGACTTAAACAGGTGATGTACCATGCACAATGCTTGGGTCCGAAGCGTCCCTGTTGAATCCAGTCAAATTTGAAACGTCGTTATCTTCCAAGATATCTATGTAAAACATAGTAATCAGCTATTTCCAATTTCCGGGAAATTAATGGCGTGAGATCACGTAGAGTGTTTCGACCCAAACGTCGAAACACTCTACGAACAATTATCATAAATTTGCGGAGACGACTGTAATATTAAGTAATACGCACTTCAGGATAAATGAGTTTAAACTGCGAAAGTGCCTCAGGTTGTTTATCTTTTAAGTTTACAGCAACCCCGCTGCGACTTTAAAATGAATATCAACAAAATTAAAAAGAAAGCGAAGTTGGTATGCAATTATTTTATTAATATTAGACGTAGACAAAAAAAAATCATGCATCTGAAGACGCGTTTCTTGGAAATAAAATCTGGACTGCGTTCCCCATTTATTTTATTTTTATTTTTTCAGAACCTCCCTCTGCCCCAACAGAAGTGAGAGCCGCAAAAATTGCAAGTCGCACAGTGGAAATTATGTGGTCTCCATCTTACAATGGAAACAGTCCCATAAGGAAGTATCACGTGCATTTTGCAAACAGGACAAGTACGCACCTACAAACATATCGCCATTTGGATGTTAAATATGTTATGTTATCTATGCGTCATATTGATATTCGTACATGAGAAGTGCTGTTAAAACAAATCCAAAAGGGGCCACTTGCTGTTTAAAATATATATTCGGTTCGCAGCACTTTCTACGCCGGAAAACTTGCTTTGTTGAACGGTGGCAATATATTATTTGAGCAAGAAAATAGGCGGCATACGAGGGGCGATTATAAAGTTCGTAATATTATAATTAGAAATTGAAATTCAGCAAAGAAGCACGGGTAGGATATTCCTTCTCTTCATATTGGGTACCCAAAGTCATGCACTTTTGCCAGCGATGGACAACCTGCCAGAGGCCGTTGTCAAAGAACTCCTCGTCTTTAATGTTCAAGACCCGCACCACTTCAGCAATCACTTGGTCGTCGTCTTTGAAATGCTCTCCACGATGTGGAGTATTCAGACGAGGGTTGAAAACGAAGCGACTTTGTCAGAAGGTGGTGCCTGTGTACTTGAACACGGCCACCAGCTTGGAATGAATCTCCTTGGGAATTTTCCCCCTTATATATAGAAAACAGATAATTGCCTGTGGTTCGACAATCCCGCCGGACAGTGCCATTCTAGTTTCGAAGTCCTAGTGGCGTTCCTCGGTACTATCAACACGCGATGTTCATAATGGCCCAAGTTAAGCACAGCACTCGTGTTGATGACTTTTTTATTCCTCTTTCCTGAATTTTGGCGACAATATTACGAACTTCATGAACAACCCTATGATGTGAAAATTCTTAATTGGTTGAAACACATGTATGAACTTATAAGCGCAATTAAAATTTCTATACAATTCAATGTTTCAAGAAGAAAAAAAAGATTTATATACACGATATTTTGAACTAAAGCACTGAGTAAAAAAACACTAATGACATATATGTTTTGCATGTGTACAACGTTTTATAAGCAGAATGTGTGCATTTGGCATGCTTCGCTTTGGTCAAAAAGAAGTGTTCAATGTTGTTGCAAAAACTCGAGTTGGCGACTTCGAAGAGAAATCGTACTTAAACCGGATTCTTTTCAACAGCCAGTTGGGACACTTCAAGCAGTGCACTTCTGTTATCCGTTTCTGGGACTGAGAACCGTGCTACGATTTACAAACTTTACCCGATGACGACCTACAGAATACGAATCACAGCTGAAAATTCTCTGGGTCACAGCCCACCCAGTGATACGCTGGAAGTGACCACAACCGAAGAAGGTAACGTTTCAAATTACAGTTTATTGTTTTTTATTATTACCGTTTCATTAAGATAACTAAAACTAAATTAATGTACTATTGCGGACAATATGAGCTGAAACAGCGCTCTGGTCTGTGCACGGTACTACCTGCGCCGCCTGTCGCCTTGCTGTGTACACAGAGCGCACCCTGAGGACGAGCTAAATTCTCACTTGCGCTCGCAGCTCCACTGCGCTCTTCCGGCCGTCTGCTAGCGAGACGGCGTGTGCGACAGCGGGCGTGTGCGTGGAAGGGCGGCAAGGGGGGAGGGGGGACGGACGGACGGACAGACGGACGGAAGATTACAGCTGTCGTCTTTTTTTCGCAATTTATTTACTTCATTCTATCGCTTAGAATCAAGTAGAAAGAAGGCTGACTGGTGAAGAAAAAATGTTGAGGTATCTTAAATTGCAGCTGCAATCATCCTGTTTCAAAGTCCAATCGAAAGAGGTAGTAGGTCGTTTTTATTTGATTAAGTGCATGCACAAAGTAGAACCTCGTAAAATATAGGCCACAATTTATATGCCGAATATAGAACGGCTCCAAAATATTTCCTTCTTTTTCTTTTCTATTGCGCACAGCTGTTTAAAAAAAAAAAAAAACAGTAACCAGACATGTTACTGCGAAGGTTTTGTAACCTTCACTGGAGTAAAAAGATTCACAAATATTCATGGTATTAAAAACCTGAGACTCAGGAACACAGAAGTGGACGAACACAACACAACCTCTCAAACACAGCTGAAGGTTTATTTGTCAGACACTCGTTTCAATATCATATATTTAAATGATTTTCAGAAATATTATTTCATAATTATTAAGCCCACGTGTCTCCTTCAAACAAAAAAGCTGCTGGCAAGATGCCAGCGTTTTATTTATCAATTTCCAGTCTTAGTAAAAGGTGACAAACAGTCATGTATTTGCCAGAGAAGTAGCTTGAAACTTCATCGAAAGAATATTCGCAGAGGACAATGTCAGACACAAAATATTATAGCCGGCGTGGAAGTTCAACTGCACTATACAAGCAGATTAGGATCAAGGATGCACCGCACAGAAGTATGGGCCGGTTGACGGCGTCAAACTGTGTGTCACAACCGTAGCAGCTAGCTTTGTTTCAATCGGCAGAGTTCTGGTTCAGGGGGTACTGAGGCGCAGTAATACTTATAAAAGAAGTTAATACCGCGTCATTCTCCCCTCACTCCTGACCACGGCTCTCATCCTCTCTGGTAAAAATCATAGCGCGCGACCACGAAGTATGGCCCGGCCCGAAGCCACTTTCATTCACGTCTCACCGTAATTCGGCGGCAGTGGCACGATGGAGCGGACGCAGTGACATGGCTGCCTTCATGCGCCTGTAAACGTGTTCGATTATATTCAGATCGGCTTCTTTTAGGGGCCAAGGCAGTTGTTGCGTCAGGCTGCGCTCCTCGGAAAGATGCGAGCGTGACAACGCAATTTCCACTTCGGCGCTTTTTTGAAATGCACTGAAACGCATGATAGCTGAAATTGTGAACATTGGGCTGCACGGCACACGCATCGTGATGGTGGTTCTGTCGACCAATATTTTCGCTAGCAGACGGCCGAACGAGTGCAGTGGCGCAGTGAGCGTGAATGAGAATTTATCTCGGCCTCAGGGTGTGCCGTGTTTGCGGAGTGATGCGACAGGCGGCGCAGGTGGTACCGTGCACAGGGCGGAGCGCTGTTTCAGCTCATATTGTCCGCGATAGTACTTCCCCTTTGAGGGTACGGTCTCTGAAAGCTAATTATTCTCATGCCGTACTGTCCACAGAGTATTAAGAGGACTATATTCAAAGATACTCCAACGGTAGGCGATAAAAAACGCGAATGAACATATCACAACTCAAGACGCCTAAGCAAAATAGGTCCCGCCGTGTGCATAGGTTCTCGCTGTCTCCACATTGTATGTTTTTTTAGGCTTTACATATTCGGCTTAAAAGAGCTGCGAAAGCGACACTAATGCGGTTAGTTATATTTGCGAGGGGACATAATATAAGAGGCCAGTCGTCACGAAAACTTGAATATTGAACTAAATTTTGTTAGTCAACATTTTAATTTCTGAAAGAAGCACTTAGTTACTATTTTAAGCGTTCTTAACGACATCGAAAACCACTAAGTCAGTAATTTTATATATACTTCATACTCGTCGGAAGTGCAGCAGTGCGCAGAAGTCACCATTCGTGCAAGAGGCCGAAGGCTAACAGTAAAAACACACCCGAATGATAACAGGCGAAAAAAAAAAAAAAACCGCTAGGGATCTTTAATGTGCGGGTTGCCTTGCGCCTACTGCACGAGAGTTAACTTTTGCGGTCAACCAGGCTTCCGGAGGGCTCCAAGAGTTTTTTTTTTTTACATTTTACCGTTAAGGAGTTTAGATGACGACCAGGAAGTTTCTTATCTGATCCGTGTTTATTTTAATTAATTAAAATATATATTTAACATATTTAGGTTATATCACACTTATTTGGACTATTAGCTCTCTTTATTATGTTACCTTAGCCGCATAAAACACCCGAGGGAACCGCATTGGTGTAGCATTTACGGCCCCTTTAAAACAAACTTGTGAAGCCTGTAAAAAGTTGTACAGCTCGCGAGAACGTATGAAAGGCAATGCGTGTTAAGACACTTGTCTAAAATTACTTATCTTGAGTAAATGGGATTGCGACATTAGGCAATAAGAATTTCGTCCAAGAGCAAATCACGAAGATAAATGCCTGAACATAATATACCTAGCCCTGTATTTGTTTAAGCTCTAAGTGACTGCAGTGGCATACTTGTGTTGTGGTATATTTCGTTCATCTGTTTATCTCTGCATATTTTTGATGCTGCATGAAGCGTAACTTGAAAATTCGTTAAATGCGAGGTACTCATTCGCCAATACAGATATTCAAGTCTTGTCGAATCGCCGCTTATTCAATGTTTCAAACTTGGACTACATTTATAATCATTAAAGTATATAAATTACAAAATTATCGTGAGTGAGCATGTCAGCTGGTACACACTTAACGCTTTGAAGCAATCAAGACTGAGGCATACGAATGCTGACACCAAGAGAAGAGAAGAGGAATGTCTCGAATGAAATATCGGGTATATCGTGATTACTTAATGGAAGAGAATACCACTTGCAGGAATGAAAGGATATCTAACCCTAACACACACTTACTCGTAAAGCTCACCCTAGACTTATGGCAGGAATGGGTTGAAACAACTCTCATAAAGTGTTTATTGGGTTTCTAAAACAAAACCGCAATTTTTATCATTTATAACGGCTTAATGCAACGGAATTGCTACACGCTTTTAAAAAACAGCAAAAAACACTCAAAAAAACGCGTAAAGTCATCTTGCATGTGCGCTTTCAAACGTACCAATGTATAATCTGACAAAAAAAAAAAACATTTTGTAATCCTCACTCTTTTAAACTGTGATTATAAAGGTGACTAATTGGACAAAAATGCTAAACACAGAAGGATAAGACTCCACTCGTCCACCGCTCAGGTTGAAAATAATTAGAGAGAGTTTACAGGAAAGATAAAGCCCGCGAAATGCGAAAGATCAATGATTGTGTCGATTTTCAAGGCCTTTATTGAAAATAAATGAACGGTTCATGAGAGTTTCCTTTCACGCAAATATCGTAAATTCGTTGTATATAATCGAAATTCTTCCCTGCTTACCATTTTTATCTGATAATCAATGTGGTCGTTATCTACAAGGCTTGGTCTCCCAATTGATTATTAACCAACAGCTCCGGGAGGTCCGCCACTTCACGTCAAGGTAGAAGCAACTGGCTCTCAGTCATTGAAGGTGACTTGGGAGGTAAGTGCGCCAATTTTTGGCATCTTGTGCGAAATAAGAGAGCGATTCCTTATTTAAACACGCTAGATTAAAACAAAATTCAGCAGGATGTCTTACGCAGGGTTGTGCAGTTTTTTGCAAGCATTATGCAATCTTATCAAAAGCTTTTAGTCCAATACCTCAATCAAGCTGTGAAGTATGCAAAATATGTTGCAACGGTGGAAGTTACAGCAAGTAGAAGAGCAAGGTACAGGAATGCATACATTTTCTATATCATAACGGAAATGTTTATAGACATAACTTTGAAAAGACTGAATTACCATAATCCACAAACAAACGTTTTTGCCGAATGCGAGAAACATCAACTTGTAATTGTTGGAACGAGTCTTAACAGGTGTGTAGACAGAAGCTGCCTAATCCCATTTCAGTTACCTAGAGTCTGATCAAATATAATTTTATACTAGAATAATATTACGTAAAAAAGAGATAGTCACACTGTATGCTGACTTGAAGCTCGGTTATAGAAGCTTAGTATATTCTAGAATGCTAAATATTTAATCGAAGATGAAAAAGTTAGCTACGAAGTTTCAATTTGGGGAAGGGTGGGAAAGGTTGCTCATAATTCGCTGCATACCGAATTATCCACAATATATTTTTTGTTTAATATTAGACTGACTAGTTTCTTCAATGATGGCGAAGCACACTTAAAATATAAGAAAAAGAGTGCAGAGCGAGATCTACTACGAGTAGGGTGAGGATGGAATATTAAAGATGAGCAAGAACCTGCACGCTTCCCAGGTTTAAACAGGTTGGAGCAGTGATAGTGTATTTCTCTACACACGCAGATATGAACGGCGAAGTTACTTATCATTTTTTTACCGTCCTAACAATCCCAGTTACCTATCTGCATCATGTAGCTTCACAATCTCTGAAAACATAAATGACAGAAATATAGTATATCATTTGGCAATCACAATATTATGTTGTTCATCACTAAGACAATTGACTAATAAATTGTATTTACATTCCATTCTTTTCTAAAGCCACCACGAAAAGAGCTTCATTATGGGCAGCTCAGAGGTTACTATATTGGCTACAAAGAGGAAGGCAAAATGGAGGCTGAGTTTCAGTACAAGAACGTAGAGGCATTGGATTTAAATACTGACTCCCAGAGGCACCTTATGAGCCATCTGACAAACCTCAAGCGCAAGACAAGTTATTCAGTCAAGGTTCAGGCATACAACAGCGAAGGTGCCGGTCCAATGTCAGACGAAGTGAGCTCAACAACGCTGGATGCAGGTATGCACCGGTCTTTGAATTGTTTGTCTTAAAACTATTTTACTGAACCCTTCCGTGCAATGTTTTGCATAAATCTGTCATTTTATTCGTGGCATGTCGTCCGTATTTTCGCAATATTTGTATAAAATCAGAGTATTTTTAATACGTAAAAAAATTGTGCACAATAAATAGACGACACTGAGAGAGTTAGCGAAACTAGATATTGAAAGTAAAGACATCAAGCATTTATGTCTCACCCCAATGAGTATTTTTCTCATTTATCCTAATATTCGCTTGCCTGGCCTCTATGCTTGGCGACAAATGAAAGAGTTTTCTCGTGAGTAGGACTCATGCTGAAATATTTATTCCTTGAATGGTGAAAAGGACGTAAAGTTTTGTGAACGTTTTGAGGCAACTGCATGTTTACCTGCGTCCCAAGAAGCCTGACTGTAAGGCTGTAAAGGATTGTAATTCCCACTTATTTTAACGCCTCGTTTTACAGCCTAAGAAAAACTTTAATGGTATATTGACACATAAAAGTTAACCATACATTATTTCTAAATATTTTTATATAATTTAATATTGCAGGTGATTTGTACAATTTGTAGGAAGGCAGATACGTCCGCACATATTTTTAATATGTAGTCTCTAAGAAGAATAAAACAGTTTTTACTTCAATATGCTTGGCACAAATGAGAATGTGTAACTCCACTATATAATATTTAGTTCCCCCAACCTCACCCGCTCTGAGACTCAAGACGAGCACATCAACATCGGTCACCGTTGAGTGGGAGCGCTTCGAAGACGACATCGTTGTTCGCGGTGAGCATAACACTAACGAAATGCTGTAAAGCATTTCTCAACATGGAACTCCTAGGACTAAGTCATGCACATGAAACCTTCAGTCTGCCGGTCAATTACACCACACGCCGTTATATTGTTTTTGTGTCAGTCATATTTAATAATATATGTAACAAAATATTAAATAAAAACTAAATAAGTGAACTTATATGTTGCATAGATTTTTCACCGCTCTGTAACTAGAGGATGAAGCAGCACTTAAAAAAATAATACAATAGGGCTACCAAACGTCTTTTTACCTTGTACAAAAAGTTCCCTAAAGTATAAAGCGGAATATTGCCTCGGCTAGGCGAGGCTTTAATCTTTAATTGCTCGTTGAATATTCAAATTAAAGAAATAAGTTTTCATAATTTCTGTTCTCTGTTGTCTCGCATTCAATAAAAACCGCCGTTTTTTCCCGCCTAGATTACGTGCTTCACTATCAGGTTGAAGGTGGGGAGTGGAGAGAAATATCCCTGAGCACAGACGACAACAAATACATTTTAAGAGGCCTAAAGTGCGGCTCGTTGTACAGCATGTTCATGACAGCCACGAACAGCCTGGGGACCGCTGAACCACGTGACATCATCTACGCCAGAACAAAAGGAGCAGGTACGAATCTGCACCTCACTAAGTAGATAGGGACATCGCTTGCTGTCTTGGCTATTAAATTCTTAGCTGCAAATTTATGTTCTGCAGCCTTTACTAAGAACAGTAAACAGCTCGAAAATTACGCATGAAGAAAAAAAAACACACACACAAACAAAACTCACTGCTCCTATTTGTATTTGTTTTTTCGTTGCGTCTTTTAGTCTTTTCAACACGGCATAAATAAGAACATTCAAGTGGTACAACCTTTACAGAATTTAGAATAATGTCAAATCCTGCGCAGAAAAACAGGGAAAGACGTACCGTTACTACCAATATTTGTTTTCATGTAGGCATAGAGTTGGGAAAAAGCTTTCATGTAAAACCAAAACTTAGAAGAAGTCGTTACTTTCAAATTAATATGAATCCTCGCAGCTATTTTCTAGTCAATAAAGCCAGCAAGCAACTCATTGCACAGTATGGTCTGGCTGGAAAGAGACTATCGTAAAAAACACGATGCTGCACTAATATACTTCTTAAATGTGCATGCCATGAATTAGGATCAGCGCCGACTATCCGAGTACTCCCGTACTCTAGCATGTAGTGAACGCGAGTGCAGCTTCAGCGTTCGGCTTGAACTGGCTTCAGATATCAGCACACGCTTTCTTCCCAGGAAATATCGACCGCCAATGTCTCCTTCAAAGAGTTTTGAGATTGGTCGATTACGCAGCGCGCCAACCTCATTGTCATTCTTGGCTGAGGAGAAAATGTAATCGTACGTCCATTGAAAATTAAAAAAAATATATATATTAGTCATTGTGAAGTGTGTTGTTAGAAACAAGCCGTAATAATTACCCCCTACGTATAGAGATTTATGCGTGTCAATAATACGTAACAAAAATAATTGAACGGGAGTGTATTCCTTTATGCTGAAAATAAAAAAAAATATTTTTTCTTATATTTTTAATGTTTTATTTTATTATTTAATATTAATTTTAGTTAAAATACAATAAATGTATTTTAAACGTTATCGTAAAATCACCCTATCTTTATTTTATTTTTTACTGTATTCCCTTAAGCACCAGTATCGTCGAATCTGGAAGAATTTATCGTTCTAAACGCCACTTCCATTGGCCTGAAATTGGGGACGTGGCAAAGCGGGGGCTGCCCCATCCTCCACTTCGCCGTTCACTTGCGACCCACTGGAACGAAGGAATGGCAGATGATGTCCGACCGGGTGCCGCCCAGCCAGCGTCGGTTCGACCTCAAACACCTGACTCCGGGAAAAGAGTACGAGGTGCGAGTCAGCGCGTACTCAGAGGCTGGCATAACAGAGGCCGACTTCAGGTTCAGGACGCTCAATGCATCTCACATCGGTAAGTAACTCTGCGTAATCCCTAGTGCGGCTTTAGTGCCAAGACAGAGCCAATGTCTATTGCCCTTCTACCGGTAATATTTTCTGGTTTGTCATAGTATGCTTAATGTAGGGTAATCTTAAAGATATAAGTGTCACCTTCTTAAAAAAAACAACGCTATTAAAGGCCAGAGGCTCAGCAGATATCTAACCTAAACATCATCAGGTGTTATAACAGTTTAGGTCGCATTTTTTACTGATGTATTTTGTGACTTTTTGAACAACTAACAACTAAAGTAGTTTGCTCTTAATTTAAGGAAACGTTCGATTGTGCAATTCAAATGTATTGTTCATTTAAATCAAAATATTTAATAAATATTTAAATGAGTGGAATTTAAAAAAAAGAAATATTTTAATTTAAAACATAGCTGCAACTTCATTCCGTGCAGTCAAGTAATGTAGAAAAAAATCAAATGTGTGATACTAAATAGCTGTGAAATAACTCGAATGACCGACATGTAGGTCAGTTCATACCTTTCGTCATCCCTAATTGCCTAAGATTTAATTGTAGTTCCATGACAAAGCAAATGATTTGAAAGCGAATAGTAAAGCCAATCGGGTCATGGCCTCTTGTTTTTCAAAAAGCTACGCTAGCTTTTCCTTTCGTTTGCTCGTTTCCAATGCAGTTGGCTACAGCTTCAATCACGGGAGCTCTGAGATTCATCAGACCGGAAGTGGCTTGCCTGTGTACCGAAACCTATCCGTCCTGCTTCCGGTCGCCGTGTCTGTCCTGGTGGTCATCATTGTTGTAACCCTCGTGGTTGTGTACCTGAGAAAGCAGAATGACACTTATGGTGCCACTGAACCTAATAACGACCACCAGATAGGTAAGCATTCATCAATCTCTCAATCAATTGGCTTACGAATTACTAAGGTCATCGCACATCTTCACATAATCATCGCTGGATTAAGTTCAATTTACCGCCATTATCTAGATCTTAATGTGCTCGACGCGTCAATATTTATTTTGCTTGATATCTGAATATTTGTTTAAATTCGTTTTCTTTTCCATTTTTTGTATTTGCATCTGTGCACCAATGACCCAATTGAAAATGTAATAGGCACAAATATTATTAAAGCTCCGACAGTTTTCGTTCTAGCACTGTTAGAAAGCACAATTAGTTTCTTCTTAAAAAGCATAGCAAGTACACTACATTATTAAGATAAACTATCTGCTACTTTGCATCAAATTTCGCTGCTTTTTGGCGCAAGACATTGATCTGATTTGAGCCACATTTGCATTGGTCGGTCTATTTTTATTTTACCAACGCGATATACCTTTCGTATATCTCCCAAAATGAAGTTTGAAACTGATAACCTAGTCACTTCGTTCTGAATTTAGCGGCCGCAGTTGAATCACCCTACTTTTTCCGTGCGGGCAATTAATTCAATAATTTCCGAATGGTTATTCAAGTGTTGCTGGTTTACTTTTTCACAGCGGAGCTGTTAAGGGCTACATTTCCCATGATCGTGTCCGTGTATGTCGACACAAACCTACTTGGACAGCCACCGCCATTTATAAGTGACGGCGGCAAACACACAACCAGTATGGTTTCCGCCGTCGCTCGTAGATGGCGGAAACCTTTTCAGCTTAAATAGATGAATAGATAGTTGGGCCCGTTAGTGGGAATTCATCGTAGGAAACAGCGCGAAAAACAGACGACGAAGAAGCCCAGATTCTATCGAGTACAGCTCTGCTGGTCTTCCTACTTCACGAGAGTAAAACGGCTGAATGTTTTTATTATTTCTAGAAATGACTAGAGAAATATTGAAAAAGCAGGTATGAGTTAATTATACATCGTTCTAGGATTAAGGTATGCTATAATCGTCAATATATATCATGTCCTAAAATGTAGATAGTTTAAATTGACCGAAACGTGACATAGTCTAAATAAAAAGAAGAAATTTCGAAAATAAAGTAGGGTGCAGGCGAGCTGGTGAATATTAACCACGATGATTTAACCTGAGACTGGATAACAAGAGAAATATTAAAGCGTCGAAGGAACAGTAACTAAACAGGACGATGTCTCAATAATAACCACGTTGGTTTCGCCTGAGACTGGGGAAGAAGAGGAACATAAAATCGTTGGAGGAACAGAAAAAGTAAATACAGAGTTGTTACAAGGCATGCATTGTTCTGAATTTCTGTCAAATTTGAAAGGCATCGCTGCTGGAGATTTGGTTCTGTAGTATAAAAAAGCACGAGAGGAAGACGAGTCGGTTATGTTTGGTGGTAGTTGCTTGCGTTCTTTGTAAACCTCTGCTCCTCAATCGGTGAACACTGATATTTGTTTACGACATTAAATACTAGCTGAAAAAAGACCTGCATTGTTTTTTTATATAAAACATGGTCTTCAATTTTTAGCTCAATGTTACTTTACATTTTTAGGTATAAGTTGTATGTCGCAACACTGAATCAGATTTTTCTTCAAGTGAATTTAATAAATTTAGCCCAGTTAATTTAAGCAGAGAATCGTCCATTTCGTCGATCGTAACACATATGAAACGAATATATCAACGGGCGCAAGTATGTGCGAGAAACATCATAACTCTAATTACTTGTGCAATTCTCAGATGATCCACTAAGAAAGTGCCGCGGGAGTGTGGAAAGTGTAGGCATGGACGAATTTTGCGCCAAGAAAGACCGGCTACAAATGCAGCTTCAGGACGCCTGCACCAAGGCCACTTCGTACTACACGTCAGGAGCGCAGAATCCAGGCACGAGACTGAGTAAGTTAGGCGGCTATGTATGCGTGCGTATGTGTGTGTGCTTGTGTGGGGGAGTGTGTTCGTGGTTTATTCAATATAATTTTGATCGCCCTGATTATGATGTTTTGTTGTTTTTAAACTTTTTTTTAATATATTATAATAATATTCTTCATTTTGGGATACTTTGGCACGAGCGCCTGGAGGGAAAGAGTTACGGAAAAATGACTAAAAAATAATCTCAATATTCGGTCCATATCAGAAGAACGAACAAATTTCAAAAGGCTTAGTAGTGTCTGTTTTGCTCAGGCAGCACACTACGGGTTGATCCAGTACTCGTAAGCATGTGTACTGAGGTCCAGAAAACTAGTCCGCTCTTCGATGAGCCCCACGTGCTCCCACGTCAGACATCAGACTCTGGGCTAGAGTGCCTCTTGAACGCGTAGAACAGGTCATCGCCGGGTGTAAAGCTTCAGCTCACTGCGTTGTTTCGCAGTTGGAATTGGTGTGTGCAGAGGGCGTACTGCCTAGATTATCTCAGTCAGCTACGCAGGCAGTACTTTGGTGTTTAGACTCTCCATCGAGTCAGGACATCCTCAAAGAGTGCGGTACCGGTGCGTGCTTTATCAATGAGCACTTGATCACCTCTTAGTGAATCCTTCGGTAAGGGTGAAGGGTTTGCAAGGGTCTAGTACGACACTTATACAGGGTGATTTATTAAAAGCTTTACAGATTCGTTAGAACAAAACGCTGTAAAAACTGCGCTTATTCGGTCTGTGCAGGTGAGATATACTTCCAGGGGGACATTCGTAGATGCAGATAACTATCAGTTGGCTAATTGAGCAATATTTGTGAATTAGCCTTATAATTAGTGAAAATAGTCATTAGGCTCCAATCATAAACTTGCTGTGCGACATCCAACAACCCCTAAAACATTAATAATGCGCTAAAGTTACAACTCGTGGAACAGGTACAAGGCTGGGACTCTCACAAGAGACAGAAAAATCGCACGAGCGCCTTACCGCAACCGCTAGCTTTGTACCTGCTCAACGAGTCGTAACTTTAGTGTACTTCTACGCTTCTCACGCGCTCAGTTTTCTGAAAATTGGTGATTTAGTGGTCTTCGATGGCGCTCAGCACGTTTATTATTGTAACCATATGTCTGTTTTAAATTATTTAAGAAGTTCATTAACAGAATAACACAATTAGCCAAATGATCATTACGGTTAGCACCCTATTCTATGCCCCCTCCCCCCCCCCCTCCTCCCCGGCCGCATAACTCAGGGGAACAAACCGCATAAGTGTAACTTTCACAACTTTTTGTAAAACAATCTTATAAAGCTTAAAAAGCACCCTGCATTTTATGCTATAACACTCACCATGCAGCTATATCTAAGAGCAATAAAGGTTTTTTTTTTTGGACGTTACTTTTGGACAATCCTAATAGGCTGTCACTCAAGAAATATAAAATCGATTGAATATGCTATGTTAAAACTGCGGATCTATAAGCGCCATGCAGAATAACATCCAAATCAAAGTCCAATATTTGTTTATATAAAAGTGTACCCTGTTTCTATTAAAAGTATAGCTAAACTTAAACATTTTTATCAGCGTGAATATCTAAAAATATGTTCCTTTCAAAAGAATTTTAATGCATAAGATTCGTTCTAAGTTACAATGACGGTTGTTCCGCAATCAGGTTATAACAAAGACAACTTTTTTTGTTTTCAAAAGATTTGCTTTAGTCAGCCAATGCTTACATTGGAATGAATCTTCTATATACGTTCAACAAATTCTCATTCTAGATAGATCTGGGAATGGCCATGAGTACGCTGAGCCGTACGCTGCGTTGAAAGCGAGGCAGCAAAGAATGCTCGAAGAGTCTGACTACGGGGATGCCGTTGCCTTGGGTCACATAGTAAGTCCTTCGTAGATTCCGGATTTTTATTGAGTAATCTTGGGAAAATAAGGTTAAAATGAAATTAGAAGGCGCCTCCTCTGGATGGCGATATTAGTGAACAATACTTTAAGTTTCAGAGTCAAAAAAAGAAAGTTTCTAAGAGGGTAGAACTAAACTTCCTCTGTATTGACATTTTGAATATTCCCCACAATAGCTGATTTTTTAAAATGCTTCAATTTTCCTAGAAGGGGTGGGGGCGTGTAAAGTTGGGAGCACCAATGTCTAAAACAACTACAGCGAGCTTTTTTTTTTTGGCAGGCAAACCTAAGTTGTTTTTTACGTGCTTTTTAACACGGTTTGCAAAATATAATCGCAAAGTATGGTTGACGAGCCGAGGGCATTAAGATATTGCGAAATTTTTATGTGAAAAAGGTAAATAAACATGTGTGATAACCAGTAAATAAACCACTAGAAATATTTTTGAAAGTATAAAATAAACTGTACTTGCAATTTTCTTGTTTTCTCTGTTGGAAAACCTAAAATGTCTTACAAAGGGAGCGATTTTAAATTGAATAAGCGGAGGGCACCCTGATCTATACCTATTAAAAATGTGTTAAATGTATACTTTAGTTTTTCACATGTTCTTTTGTGCAGTCAAGGTGGGATGGTTCCTCTTACGCCTCGATAAAACGCAGTCCCCAAAGGTCCCACATAGCAAGCTTTTGTCGAGGTAAGATCCTTTCATAGTCATAGTAGTCATCAATAGGCAAAACCGAAATAATTTGCATTTAAATGCCGTTTTCATGCATATTACAATTAATCACGTGCGCCGTAGCCCGTTTTAATAAACTATATCAATAATAATAAAATCTTCCTTGCATATCCTCATCGATTTGTCGCTAGGTTGGATCCCACGTCAACAATGTTGAACATGCCTGCACACATTGTGATAATTTCTTCAAGACTTGTCGCACAATTTTTGTCCTGAAAGCCTTTCAAGAATTAGTGATCCATGTCTTGTATCAGGTTCTCACAATAGAAAAACGATTTCGCAACTTTGTGTTAACAGCATTTCAAGTTAAATAGTTCTGCACGTAGATTAAAATCAATGTTTTTAATGAAAAATGTATACGCATTACAGATCCCGAAGCAAACGCTTAGGCCACATAGTTCACCTGCTCTGAAAGAAGACACTTGGATTTTCGCGGATGTGAGGTTTAGGCACAACACGTTCACAACCTCTTGGACGTGGACCTGGACTGCAAGCACGATCAGAATGGTAAGCAAACGCCTAGAATAAAAAATGGAAAAAAATATAGAGCGAATAAAAATGGGATATGGTTGAACCACAGCTAAAGCATGATTTCAACACTTGGTTTTTATCAGCAATTCAGACTACAAGTACTGAACAAGAAAACAAATCTGAACTTTTCTTTTTACCAAGAAATATTTATAGGGATAAAAAATGCGAGACACACAAGAAACAAATAACCCGCACTCTTAAGAAGAAATAACCCATTTTGTTCAGTTCATTTTTTTATTTGTTGGACCACAATTTTTTGTTTTCACGAAGTGTGGACATTCTATATTTTCCGTTTTATTACCCTCCTCAAGCTTTCTTATGTTCAACGCTTGGCGAGGACCCACACTTCCTTTAGCGTTTTGTAATAGGCAGGTTTATATAGGCTTAGTTTGTTTAGGAAATAAAGCTCACAGTGAATATTCGTGAGCTCTAATATTTAGTTACCTCTTATTTGAAGCACGAAGCTTTCCCCGCTATTAGGGATATCACTCAATGTCCTACGACACCAAATGGTTAAATTAAGACACCGTAAGGTTGACAGAAAATAGTACACTCTTGGAGCATTCAAAATAATGCGGTTGATTCCTTCTTGGAGAAAACCACAATTGCTCAGCATCATGATAATAGTTTTATATTCTGCTATATCCTGATAAGGCGGACAATAATGTATCAATCAGGGGCTTTAACGTTCAAACTAAAAAGGAGGCATATATTATGCAAAACCTTACCTATCTCTTACAACATGAATTGAAAAATGCTATTAATTTACCCATATTGATATAGCTTTTTCTAAGCAAAGTTAACGTCTCTGAATATTACTGTTTATAATTCGCTTGCTTTTATGGGTTTCAATATTTTTGTTTTTGAAATCGTATATAATATAAATTATATCTTGCGAATTCACTATAGGTGATTTAGCATTACCGAAAATTCTTGCATATTTGAAAGCTTCCCAATATATTTTACCAAGTACATATTAAAAAAAACATACGATGTCAGTAAATAATAAAAGTACAGACAGAAGCATAATATATTCAGTGTGGTTTGCTTGCAACCACATCCTCACATTCAACTGTATCGAATAAACTCGAACATGACTGAAGGCAATACCGGGAACTTTTGTATCATCATTCGCGTAGCCTCCTAGACGTATCTATGTCTAAAATGAATTATTAGTATTATTAGCAGTTGCTCAATTCTATTTCAATGGAGCATTCTCTATTACGGTACACTATTACATACCTGCCAGTAATTAAAGGACAGGACGTACTTGGAGTGATTATCAAAAACGACTTTTCATTCATAACGTTTAATAAAAGTTCAACGGTTTTCAACATTTTATGCATTTTAAAATGTGAATTGATTATTGTACTTTAATTCCAGGACCGCTCGGCAGTAAAACCGCTACTCATTTCCGGAGCCATGCCCACCAACAAGTGCCTTTGAAGAGGATTGTTGTTTCAGCGTTGAAGAGTTCCTCGTGAAGCGTCGGTTCTTTTAAATACTGCGGAAACAAATGATTGAACTCACAACCTGGCCTAGGAAACACCGTGTCTTGAGCGTAAAGTGCCGAAAACCCGCTGTGATTCCTGGTTCATCGGATGAAAGCACGCTGCTCACTGCGCCCTACACAAATATGAAACACTGTGATCTGTAAATAAATGTTTTTTTTTAAGATTTATATTTATCTGGAGGGAATGGATATTTGTCAGAAACATCGGATTTGGAAATGACACAAGAGAGAGAAAGAGGTTGGGCATATAATAAAACAGGATCAAGACCGTTACTCGGAAGCAGTCCATGCCTGAGAACAACAGCACAGCGCTTCGACCAATGGTAAGCAAAGTAGAAGGAAAAAGATAATTCAGTAGTGTTTTTATTTTTTTTCTGTAATGCAGAAAGAACATTCTCGAAGAGAGAATTCGGTGGTAAATTGTGACTAGATAAATATCCAATACCCTATCATGGCAATTACCATAAAACGTTATTTGCACTATTAACTAAAGTAAACCAGTTAGAATCGAGACAGATTACTCTTCGCTTCCTTTCGCTCATGTGTCGCAAGGAGGTCAGTGGGACGGTAATCAGACGTAATTAAATCATTACTTTGACGTTTTGCTGAAGTTACCTCTACCTTCTCTTGGTCATTAGACTATCGCAAAAAAGGGAACCACTGCTATGATACAGGTAAAGGCCCTTTGCAAAGCACGCATTCCTGTCCGCGGAGCTGAAATTAATTTTTCGAACCACTTCTATATAACCCGCTGTAGCATACGATGAAGTAACCTTGCAGGCGACGGGAGATACGCAGCCGTGCGTTTGAAGCTAGTAGACGAACTGCTCTACACCTCTTTTCTTTCTCACTCGCTGGTGTCTCACGTGGTAAAAGCTTCAAGGGCGTGCACAGAACTTTGAAATAATTTGTTGCACGCTCCTATGCAGCCATTTGAAATTTTCGTAAGCAAGTCTGTTGGCCGCAGGTTATTTATGGTATTTTTCCCCTCCTAATTTTTAGGCAAATTGACTCTAGAATAACATCTTTTCTGGGTTTGATCTTTAGGCTGTCCGAAAGAAATATAAATCACCATCAACTTTACCCACGCATCTAATTCTCAAAAAAGAGGACATTTTTACACCTTCCTTTTGTTGATGCGACAGCACCTCATCCGAACGAGACGGGCCGACTTTGATTTAGTACAAAGGAAGAAAAAGGGCAGCAGGGTGCGCGTGTCTGTTGTCGCTTTATGGATCGATGTGCTCCGGTAGCATTAGTGGATGTAGCCAAGACCACTGATCTAGTAAATAAACGTTTTCCCTTGATCAGAATGTAATATGCACAGAACGATGCATTTTAGAGCACAGCTCTTAGGCGCCCGTTTCCGGCTTGAGCGGTGTCGGCGTCAGCGTCGGCGTCGGCGTAACCGTAAGGTCACATGACTCCCCAGGTCACGTGACCCCCAGGTCACGGACCCCTCCAGGTCCCGTGACCCCCAGGTTACGAAAGCCCCCAAGCCACGTGACCCCCCAGTGACCCCCCTGAGGCCACGCGACCCCTTGAGGTCACGTGTGAGGTGACCCCCCTGAGGCCACGTGACCCCCCTGAGGTCACGTGACTCCCTGAGCTCACACGACCCCAGAGGTCACATGACCCCCTCCCCCTGAAGGTCAGGTGACCCCCATGACGTCACACAACTCCCCCCCCCCCCCGAGGTCACGTGAGCTCAAGGAGTCACCTATCCCTCATTACGCTACCATCCTCCTCCTCAAGAGCTGCGCTCTAATCAAGCGTTACAGCGAATCGTAAACCGCTTTCATTTTTGATTAAGCAATTCTTTGTTTTTACAGAACCCGGCGCGATTACAAACAAGATTGATCGGGTTCATTTGCGCATTGAACTAAACTTAATTCCTAGCACTTGGTCTTAAAAATTAAAACATTGTTTTCTCAGCTTCTTAATTCATTAATAATAATCCCTTTAATGTACTTATTAATTATTCATTGTTTCATTTGAATGGGACCAAACTATTTTTTTTAAATATAGATGATAGCGCATTTGCTAGAACAAACTAACACATAATTAACCGTTCGGTGAAATACCTAAAAGCTCAATTTGGTTTGTTCTCACAACTTTTGCGGGGGCTTCCAAACTGTTGACTGAATGAAACGCTTCGTATGTTTCTGCAGCATAAACTTTTACGCATGCCAAAGGCGTTTCAGCCTATTTTTATGTTTTATGGGTATTTTTTGAAAACCCGCAAGCCTGCTACCATAGCATGTTTGGCAAAGATCTAGATTGTTGTTGAAAATAAATGGTGAAGGATTAGGGCTGCAAACAACTATCTCTGATGAACTAAGCTTCCTCGTGATATATTGGTCTCTTTTGCAGTAATATTTCTGAAATACATATGATCTTGCTCTAAACATGTTAAAATAACATATATTTCTTTATTTCTATTTGATTTTTTTTATTGCAAGGCTGTATGCCTCTTTAAATGCTTACATTGATTAAACATAATGCAGTCACAGTATAATATTACCGGTTAACTTTTTCTGTTTTAGAGACAGCCTTGATGTTGAATGAGCCGCCATTTCTCTTTATACATCGTAAAATAAATTGGAAATTTTTGGGGTCAGTATTAATGAAAACATATATTTTTCTATATTTTAGTAATAATTAAAAAATATGGAATGCAGCATCAGTATTAGTTAATGAGTAACTTAAGGTTTTCTCGAGCAGAAACAATTCACGTATATAATGAATCCCTTGCAGGACAAAATATGGGGTTATGTTAAAAACTAGCAAAAACGTTGGCGTTTCAGTGTGACAATTCTTTTAATTTATTTGACATTTCATTGTTCGCAGTCTTATCTAAAATATCAGTGATACTTATGAAACGTCTGCATCACAACGACTCGATTCGAACGTTTTACTATTCTGTTGTTGCTGTGTTGTTTGTTTTAAATGATATAATACTCCTTAATGCCACCCCCAAACCCAAAACATTATTCGTCTATCCTTCCGTCCATCTGTGCGACCGTTTATTTTCCGCTAAATTTAGGGACAAAATCAATATCACGAGACCAACGCACGAATTGAGTTTCTTAATTAAATTTAGCAGGAAAATTCAAGTCACGTGACCTGACGTTACAGGACGTACGAACCAATTCAATTTTCCCGCTAAATTTAGCCGTGAAAATGTACCTAAAGTGACCTACACACGAATTCAGTTTCCCCGCAAAATTTGGCGCAAAGTGGCACGTCACGGGACGTCACCTGACACCACGTGACCTTATACACTTTAGAGAAATTGGCGGCACGTTATTTGTACGTCAGGTGAGTTTATCCTCGAAATACAAC